GTTGCTGCTAACTTTAAGATTCTAAATTTTTAAATTTTATGATTTTGAATTATCAGTTTGATAAATTATCAGTTTGATATGCTTGAAGGTGAGTAAATTTTTATATAATAAATTAATAATATCATTGCTTAAACTAAAATTTCAATAAATAACTTGCTTTCAAAGCCATCAATTAAAAATGAAGCATCTAAATTCTCTATATCTGAATTTGTTAAATATATTAATTATATCAAACTTAAATTATAATTTATGCAGAAATTTCAAATAGCATTATCTTTAATTTTAATTTGATTTACAACTTAATCTCCTATAATACCAGCATCTAATATGTTATATTGGGGTTAGGAAAGGAATCTGAATAAAAGTATATTTATAAAATAAACTAAAAAAATAAGTTCATTATTTTCAGCCATCAATAACAGAAATTAAGGATTTAAAAATCGAAAAATATAATTAAACAAATTTTACTGTTTAACAATTTGTGTAATTTAATTAGTCTAACTTCAAAGCAATAATATCAAATATTTGAATATTTATGATGAATCTCTGATTCATTTATTAATATCAAGTTAGGTATATATGGTGAATTTAGTTTGATTAATACTTAATTAAACTTGACTTTTGAAAATGAAATTTCTACTGATATGCAAATCCTCGAAGAAAATCCTCGAAACTTAAAAAATATGAGATATCATGAATATTGGCAAATATAAAATTATATTAAAATATTGTTTTTAATTATTTAAATAAAGAATCGAACAAATTAAATAGAAATAAGTAAATAGATAACTAATAAGAAAATATATATATATCTTATGAAATAAAGAAATAATTCTTATTTTATCTTAAGTGTTTTACCAACTCCTTATTCATAGGATCTCAAAAATTTTAATTTATAGGTTTAAATTAGACAAAAATATCCTAAAAGTTAATGAAATGTGATTGGATAGTAAAACATGTAGCATATGAATTCCATATGGGAACTATTGAATTATATTAATAGATTTCTTAAGAAGTCATTGTCAAATTTAAAGAACCTAAGCATCAAAAGTGGGATCTGGAGTACCAAACTAGACTTGGAAGAGACCAGGTATAAAAACTAGAGGAAATAGTAAATGCTTTAGACATAGATCGATAGTTGGGAATAAAAAGATAACATCAAAAGCTATAAAATAATTATTAATTATTTAATAGAATAAGCTAGAAGAGATTAAATACATAAGACCATGAAGGATATTACAGAAAATGATCTTTGAGAGGAAATTCATTGTTAGCCAAAATATAAGCAAAAAATGAGAATAATTCATTGTCTGAAAATAAAATAATTAATAAATGTCAATCTCTATCTTTAGATTAATTACACTTGATAGAACATATTTAAATATATGAAATTTTGTAGTTTTATTACTATTGATCTATTAATAAATAATTAAACCTATATCGAAAATTTATGTCTTATTTAATGGAAAAAATGCGAATATTTATGATTCTGCATTTATCTTTGTAATGAATGTCAAGGGAAAAAATATAATTTTTTCTTTTTATGGGTGTAAGAACCAAATTTTGTATAATAAGAAATGTTGAGTAGTGGCGCTGGTTTAAAGAATCTTGGGAAAATAAGGGATAACGATGATAGAGCTGTTATTTTAATAATCATGGACTTGTGATGATTACAATAACAAATGATAGGAGGAAGACACACTTTGCGAGATTTTGTAAACAAATGTCGCGCAATAGGGGATGTAACATCACTAATAAAATGATTTAGTAATATGTTAAACTAAGCAGATAATGGAATAAGTATAGTAGGATACATGAATGGCATGGATACAGCCAAAGAATGGCGCCAGATAATATTAATGGAGGATGAAATATCCAAAAAATAAATTTTGCTGAAAGATGGACATTTAAACAGCCTAATACATAGTAAATAGCTTGAAATAAAGATAGATACACCATTTATGCTGTAGCAAAAATATTGATATATTTCACAGATTTTGTTGATCTTTACCTCTGAACATATTCCTTATGATTTATAAATAAGATGGGTTGAAACGGTGGTTTATAGTGAAAAAATTAACTATAGCAGAGGATGAGTTAAAATGTGGGGATTAGCCCTTAGATTAATGATGATACACTTAGAAGAAAGAAAAGGTAAAAATCAGATTTTAAAATTGTTAATTAATTGTCAGACTTGAAATATCAATAATATATTTTTATTCATTAAATTGATATTTTATTAAAAGTTAGGTGATAAAACTTTACCTTCTATTTAATAAATCTAAGGATAATGGCATCTGCTCCTTGACTATTAAACTAGAGCTGATTAATTGAAATTAGCTGATACAAAATCTTACTTCAAGTTAATTAAACATATTTTAAATTTAGGAATCTGTATCTTTGAATTTAAGAGAAAAAAATTTGATGCTCTTTATTTTATATAATTATCATTTTTTAATTATAATTATTATGGCTGTTAAATTAGGATTATTAGACACACTTTTGAAAGAAAATTTAAAACAAATAAACAAGTATAGATGATATTTCTAATAAATTGATAATAAATAAATCAAAAACTTATATAATGGAAAACTCTTAAAGATTTTATGAAATGAATTAAATTTTAATTTGTAAATTCTACAAGTTAAATCACAATTCTAATATATAAATAATTTTTCACATTGTTTATAGATATGGTGCTTCAGGAATTGTATTTTCCCAAAGTTTTCCAATAGCTGAAGATTAAAATAGCATTGAAAATATAGCTTCTCATTCACTTGAATCTGGTGGGGCTAATTTAAAACATTATACACGATTAATTAAATGTTATTTTTTAAATTAATATCTTCAAATCAACCAAAGATACTTCTAAATAAGGATGAATTTTAATTGTGATAAATTGTTTTTTAAAACTAGATCAAACATTCCATTAATAAATATCTATTTTATATGAAATCTTATTATGATAGCTACAAGGATTACTATTTATTTTATAATTAATTTATATTTATATCTATTCAAATTTTCCATATTTATTCGATTCAAATTTTGGTGATTTAGATATCAATCCTGGTTTTAATTAACTTATTGAAAAAGCTAAAGCTTTATCTTTTTCAGCAACACTCAGATTTTATATATGTCAATATCTTTCAAATATATATTATCTACTGCTTCAAAAAAAGTAGATCATATAAAAATTATCAAACAAAAAATTCAAAATCTAACTTATGAGGAATCCTTAATAATAAGCTGTATAATATTAGTAGTTAAATTGCTTAATATAAATTAACATAGAGTGCAATATCCAATAAAAGTAAAACATAATAGAGGCTTAAAAATTAGAAATGATGTGTATTTTTTTCAAAATAATAATTAATTGATCATTTTTTATTAGACTGAAGATCTCAAAAAAATATTACAATCAACCTTTTCTCAAAACGAATGAAGCTGCTCAAATTACAATATTTTTAAGAAATGCCCATTATCTTGAATAAATTTCTTGAAATTTGATAATTCTAAATAATTGAATTGAAAAAAAATGTTATAATTTATGGTTTTTATATCTGTAAAACAATCAAATACTTTTTATACATTTTCAACTATTTAAATTCAAAGAAGGGAGAAGACTTTTAACAGATATTAGCGTTCATAAATATCACTAAAATAAAATTTGAGATAATTTTCATTACAATATACATTGCTATAATTATATAGAAAAATATGCCAAAGATCACCTATTTAAGTAGTTGTTAAGTCATTATTAATAATTATGCTAAAACTAAAATAAATTTCACCATATAATCATTTGATCACTTAATTTGATATCTCTACTTTACTTTTGTTAATTATATGTACACATGGATACAACTCTTTTGATGTATGAATAGCAAGAGTCTAATAATAAATAGAAATTGATACAAATGATTCATTTGTGGATTACTTTATCCATTTCACGTACTTCTTTTCAATATCCACTTCAACAATAATTATATCATTTGTAGAAAATTGAAATGCTATTTATTTACTATCTTTATCTTATTAATCATGATTTTAACAATAACCAGAATTATGTATATTATATGTTCTATTTTGAACTATTATTATTATAAATATACCCTCTTCCAATTGAAAAACAATTAAAATAACCTATACTCTACACAATATCCCTAAAACCAATTCCAATCATAATGCCACTACCCAATTTAATAATTTTAAATGCAAATTAAATCAAATTATTCTTAGGAATAATTTAATCACACATACAACAATACCAACCACCTGTATTATTCTCAATAACTTTTCCATTCTAAGTTACTGAACAACTCTTAAATTTATATGTAGTTGAAAATGTCAGTTATTAAGAGAATTAAAGCTCTTAAGTAGGATTAAGCTATGGTTATATTTCATTTAAGAAATTTTCTTTCAATAATATTTTCAATTATTCTTCAATTCTCTTGTTTCAATCTAAGAAGTTGTGTATATAATTTTTTACAGAACAATTAATAAGATCAAAATTGGTAAATGGCATTTTATAAGGGCTTTTAGTATAAATTATATAACAAGTTTATGTTTTTTGGGCCCGTTATTCGAACTAAAAATACAAGAAATGATTAGCATTACCCATCTAACTAAATCATTCTTTAGGCTTGAAAGAAAAAAGAACCTGTGAAAATAATTATATTGAATTAAAAGAAATTCCATGAAAAGGTACACACAGACAAAATTTTACATAAAAAATTTTTAATTAGAAATACAATTAAATGATACTTCTTTGTTGAGATGGCTAGAAGTAAATTATAATGTTTAGTATTAAGTGGTTGTAGAGGAAGCTTAATTATTAAAGATCCAAAGAACATAGTAATAATTAGATAAATAATAATTGAGGAGAATAAGTCCTTTGGATTTGGAGTGTTAAAAGTTGAATTAAATAGTTCTTCCATAGTAGCCATTACTAATAAAGGTTAGAAAGTAATACATGGAGTAGGAATAGCTCCATCTTTTCCTCCATTAGTCTATGGAAATATATTTCATAATTATTTCGACTTTGTTGAATTATGCTCATGATTATTCTGAGTATTATCTGATCAAATCAGTGTAAAGTGATGATAAAAAGTTGATTTCCTAAAAATATAAGTAAATTGAAGATAAGTCATAACTTAATTTATTAAGCGTTAACATAATATTAGATGAGGAATAAAAATTATAAGCTAATAAATTAAGAAAATTGAATAATAGAGTTAGGATAGGAAAGAAAGGAAGAGATAAGAATCTATTCTTTGTAAGGTGAATCCAGAATCTCTTGGCCAGGTAGCAGATGCAGATTATAATTTTTCATGGTAATACACTATATAAATAAACTATGGGATGACAAGTGTAGTCTCTAGAAATAATCTACAAAATATTTATAATTAAAAACAATTTGGAGATATGTAGCTTTGTAGCTAATGCGGAATTTCTTAAAAAAAGAGAAAATTTGTGCCTTAAAATTCCCATACTTTATTTATATTTCTTTCCTGACCAAAAAACACCTAATTTATAGCTATTCTATATCAAATATTGGGGGAAAAACCAACAAATAAATATTTATTCTCGTTAAAATTAAATTTAATAATATAAATATTTAATATTTGATATGAATTTTGTGATGAGAAAATAGAAAATGAGAAAGTTATATATAAAAATTAGTTTTCATAAGTTACTTTTTTTAATGATCTATTTATTTTAATAGCTTGTATATTTATTTTTCCTTCATAATCTAGTCTTCTGATTTGACACTATGAACTAAGTTAATTTTATCTTTTTAATCTTATTTAGGCATCTCAAGAGCTTAATATACGTTTCATTTCTTTGAATGCTGATTGATTTCTAGAAATAATTGATCTGTGCTCCCATTTGATTAGAATTCTTGATTGGACTCAATTGCAGTCAAGCATATTTTGATCCATTTTCCTCATAAAAACTAGTAAAAACTCTAGAGATTCTATATATAAAAGGTTATTTACCTAACTAAAGAAATATATTTTTGAGGTTGATTTAATCATTAACTGACTCTGTTTTATAAATGAGAGTAAATTCATAATATATCTCTGAAACAGGAGCAGAATATAATTTATTATTTGGTTCAATTATTCATACTTGATAATCAAAAATTGGATTTTTTTCTTGCTATTTTTTTTTTAATAACAGATAGCTCCTTGACTATTCAGTGGAGCTAATCCAAGTAAAATCAGGGATAATTGATCAATAATTGTATTTAATTTTTTTAATACCTAAAGACTTTTTAAAAACTCAAGGGGTATTTTTAGTATGGCTCTATTAATATCTATTTATCGAGTAAAAGTAATAACACAGCATTCGTATTGAATAATTATAGTGAAAGCAATCTAAATACAAACTGAATAAGAAGAATTAAGTTGAAGAGGTTTGCATTAACCAATCTTTATGAAATTAAAAAATTTAAGAGAAATGTATGAAATAATTTAAATTAAGGCTGTTGTGCTTCATTTCTTGGCTTATGCTATTCTTCGATTTTAAAAAAAAAAATGTGCTTGAAATTTTCCTTTTCTCATAACAATCCCTCTATCATCAACCTAAGTCTTTTTAATGAGTTAAATTTGATTTATCATAAATATCAAAATATCATACCTTGTTTCTTTAGACTACCTATAGTTAGATGATTGTAACCCTAATTATTAATTATCATTCCAAAGCCTTCTATTCAACTATATCATATCTTCATTAAATGAGTGCATTTTACTTTATTCTATATTCTAACTCAGCTTCTCATCCTATTGTGTATCTTACTACTTTCTTTTCTTCCACCTTTTCATTTCTCTTCATCAAATAAGTATATGCTATTTCCTAACGAACTTTTATTATCTGAACTAACCTGAAAAGACTAATTTTCCTTTGTGAAATTTTTATAAAAAAATCAATCTATCTATAAATAACCTAAAAGGTTAGTGTAGGATTTATAAGTAAATTCTAATTTCAAAGTCTCGTTCATTTTTTTTATTATTTATTCATTGAAAGCCTTAATTTCTTAACCCAATAAATTCTATACTTTTTCTATCTTTCTCAAATTAAAGTCTTTTAAAGCATTCCATCCTTTTAATTTGTCTCCTACAAGTATTTATACTAACATCTCTAAGTCAGTATTTGACAATTCTACAGGAGTGGTATTGTTGTTAAGGATTTCCAAATATGTTTTATCTTATAGTTCAATCATATCGTAAATTGATTTGATTGATTCCTAAAAATTTTCCCAAATTTTATTCATTGTACTCTCAGTTTGAGAAAGCAATAATTTTAACTTCGTTCTCTCTTTGGTAAAATCTGATGTCTCATAAGGCTTAGATTCTTTTTATTTCTTGATCAACATTTCTTGAAATATTTGAATCGGGATTGTTTGTTTGAAATCAACTCCATGGCTATAAGCGCATTCCATACAAAGTTTCCTTTAACATTAACACTTGTGAGGAGCTATACATATTGCAGCGATTGGATTTTGAATATGATATGTGCAAGACATTTTCCCTTTTTTGTTGTTGAAAATATTGAATTTCTATTAATTTTATATTAAGTTTTATATCATTACTAAGTTTAAGCAAAAATTTTCTGAAGATTCGGATTTGATTGTTATTGAGATAAAATCAATAAATGTTAGAACAAAAAACTTTTGTATAGCTTGAATCTCTAAGAAAATAGACTAATCTAATTGATTCATTTGATTTTAGCCTTACTTTATTGAACATCTATTTTTCTTCCCTGATTGCTGTTATATTATTGTCTCCCTTTATATGTTTCAATAATGTTACCTTAATAAAATTACTCAGTTTTTTATTTAATAACTTCTGAAAAAATTTAATTTTTGAATAATCATAACTCTTGTATGGTTTGGGTTAAAAGGTAAATTTGACAACCATTAATTAATAAATAGTGTTTCATAAAAAAAATTTTCTTCTAAATATCAATTTAAAAAATTTTTAGTCACTGAGGATAATAAAATTAAATGGTAAAATACCAAGCAGAAGGAAGAAAGTAATGAAAATAGTCCTTAAGTAACTCATAATGTAGAATAGAATCAAAATTTTAATTAAAGTTAATAAATGGGTTGTAAATATAGATAGATATAAATAAAGGAAATAATGTAGATATGTGAATCTTATCATTAATTATAAGTAGATTAGAGAAAGATTTCAAAATAATTGAGTTGTAAAAGAGTTTTGGATTTAGATAATTTTAAATAGTATTATAAATGGTGCTTATAAAGTCTAAATATTAGACTTTTTGACTAGAGTGCTTTATTTGCTTTCTTTGACTTATTCCTATAGATCATTATCAACATAGATTGATGAAAGATACAAGACAATAAATTTCTTATCAAAAATTGCAATCTATATCAAATTATTTATTTTAATTGAATTAAATCTTTTTTATAAACAAGACAAATATGCAAATCCTTATTTTCATCAAGGAGAGATAATTTTTCTTTCTACAATCACTTCTGTTTGGTTTAAATTTTTGAATTAATTTTTAAAATTCCTATAAGAATGTTTATTTCTGAAATTTAAGCTTTTCCTTTACTTTATTATTCCCTCCTTCAAAGTTCATTAATAATTGAAGATAGATGTCTTGTTATGAGTTAATGTTCTAAGCAAATTGGTTCCTAACATATTTATTGAATTACTGATCAATTTGCCTACTAAATCTTTTACCAAGACTCCTTAACTTACTTCATCTAAACAAAAATAAATGGAAATAAGATTATTTGACTAAATGAATCTTGAATGTCAAAAATGTAAGAGTATTCCAATTTTGGCAAGAACAGAAATAAAAATTTGAACTATTGTATATGAGATTATTATATTTGATTTAAATATAATATAATATAATATAATATAATATAATATAATCTTTTTAAAAAATCAAATTCACTATTTA